AGCTGAGCTCTTTTGGGTGTGAAATAAATCTCCAAAAGGCTGAGAGACCTGGCTTGAACCTTGTATAAGTGGAGTTCATTTTTTTCCCCTCTTGCTCTAACTCAGATTTTCTCTATAAGGAGCTTCGTTATTTGGCATTTTCTTAAACCTTTTTTGTTTCCAGCACCACCACAGAAGCCATCCTGCTGATTTTGTGCCTTTTAATGTATCTGAGCTATCTTGGGTGTGAAATAAATCTCCAAAAGCTTACAAGACGTGGTTGGAGGAGACCCTTATATCAGTGGAATTTGGTTTTTTCCCCTCTTGCTCTAACTCAGTTTTTCTCTATAAGGAGCTTTGTTATTTTGCCTTTTATTAAAACTCTGCTGTTTCCAGCACCACCACAGAAGCCATTGTGCTGATTTTGTCCATCTGAGGTAGCTGAGCTATCTTGGGTGTGGAATAGATCTCTAAGAGTTTGAGACCTGGCTCAAGCAGACCCTTACATCACTGGAGTTTCTTTTTCCCCCTCTTGCTCTAACTCAGTTTTTCTCTATAAGGAGCTTTGTTATTTTGGCTTTTCTTAAAACTTTCCTGTTTCCAGCACTACCACAGAAGCCATCCCGCTGATTTTGTGCCTTTTAATGTATCTGAGCTATCTTGGGTGTGAAATAAATCCCCAAAAGCTTACAAGACGTGGTTGGAGGAGACCCTTATATCAGTGGAATTTGGTTTTTCCCCCTCTTGCACGTGGCTCAGGTTTTCTCTATAAAGAGCTTTGTTATTTTGCCTTTTATTAAAACTCTGCTGTTTCCAGCACCACCACAGAAGCCATTGTGCTGATTTTATCCATCTGAGGTAGCTGAGCTATCTTGGGTGTGAAATAGATCTCTAAGAGTTTGGGACCTGGCTCAAGCAGACCCTTACATCAGTGGAGTTTCTTTTTTACCCTCTTGCTCTAACTCAGTTTTTCTCTATAAGGAGCTTTGTTATTTTGGCTTTTCTTAAACCTTTCCTGTTTCCAGCACTACCACAGAAGCCACCCAGCTGATTTTGTGCCTTTTAATGTATCTGAGCTATCTTGGGTGTGAAATAAATCCCCAAGAGTTTATGAGACCTGGCTGNGACCCCTCTGGCCCCCCACAGGATCCCTCTCTGGGGGGGGGTGCTCATCACCATCGCCGACACCTTCGTCTTCCTCTTCCTCGACAAATACGGTGAGGGCTGCTGGGGGTGGGGTTGGGATTGGGATGGGGTGGGTTTGGGATGGGATTGGGATTGGGATTGGGATTGGGATTGGGATTGGTTTGGAATTGGGAATGGGATTGGGAATGGGATGGGATTGGGGTGGGATTGGTATCGGTATCGGGGGAGATTGGGATGGCATGGGTTTGGGATTGGGATGGGTTTGAGATTAGGATTTGGATTGGGATTGGGATTGGAATTGGGATGGGTTTGGAATGGGGATTGGGGTTGGGATTGGGATGGGGTGGGTTTGGGGTTGGGATTGGGATGGGATTAGGATTGGGATGGGATGGGTTTGGGATGGGTTTGGCATTGGGATGGGGTGGGTTTGGGGTTGGGGTTGGTTTGGAATTGGGAATGGGATGGGATTGGGATTGGGTTGGGATTGGGATGGGTTTGGGATGGGATTGGGATTGGGATGGGGTTGGGATTGGTTTGGAATTGGGGATGGAATTGGGATTGGGGTGGGATTGGGATTGGGATTAGGATGGGTTTTAGATAAGGATTTGGAATTGGGATGGGTTTGGGATTGGGATTGGAGGTGGGGTTGGGATTGGTTCGAGTTTGGGATTGGGGTTGGGGTTGGGATTGGGGTGGGTTTGGGATGGGATTGAGTTTGGGATTGAGATTGGGATGGGGTTGGGGTTGGGTTTCAGATTGAGATGGGATTGGGATTGGGATTGGGATGGGATTGGGATGGGATTGGGATTAGGTTTGAGGTTGGGATTGGGATGGGGTGAGTTTAGGATTGAGTTTAGGATTTGGATTGGGGTTGGGTTTAGGGTTGGGATTGGTTTGGAATTGGGGATGGGATTGGGAAGGGGATGGGATTGGGGTGGGATTGGGATTGGTATTGAGGGAGATTGGGATGGGATGGGTATTGGGATGGGTTTGGGATTTAGATTAGGATGGGTTTGAGATTAGGATTTGGATTGGGATTGGAATTGGGATGGATTTGGAGTTGGGATTGGAGGTGGGGTTGGGATTGGTTCAAGTTTGGGATGGGATTGAGATTGGGATGGGGTTGGGGTTGGGTTTCAGATTGAGATGGGATTGGGAATGGGATGGGATTGAGATTAGGATTTGGATTGGGATTGGAATTGGGATGGGTTTGGAATTGGGATTGGTTCGAGTTTGGGGTTGGGATGGGTTTGAGATGGGGATTGGGGTTGAGATTGGGGTGGGTTTGGAATTGGGATTGGGGTGTGTTTGGGATGGGATTGAGATTGGGCTGGGGTTGGGTTTCAGATTGAGATGGGATTGGGGATGGGATGAGATTGGGATGGGATTGGGATTAGGTTTGAGGTTGGGATTGGGATGGGGTGAGTTTAGGATTGAGTTTAGGATTTGGATTGGGGTTGGATTTAAGGTTGAGATTGGGGTGGGATTGGGATGAGATTGGGATTGGTATCGAGGGAGATTGGGATGGGATGGGTTTGGGATTGGGATGAGATTGGGTTTGGGGTGGGATTGGAATTGGAATTGGGATGGGTTTGGATTTAGGTTTGAGATTGAGATGGGGTTGGGGTTGGGATTGGGACGGGTTTGGGATTGAGATGGGATCAGGACGGGTTTGGGATTGAGATGGGATTGGGATTTTGTTTGGGATTGGGGTTGGGCTCTTCTCACCTTGGTGACAAAGGGACTTTTCCTTACAGGCCTGAGGAAGCTCGAGGCGTTTTTTGGGCTCCTCATCACCATCATGGCCCTGACCTTTGGATATGAGGTACCCCCTCTCTGGAGCACCCCAAAACTGCCTGTTTCTGTTTCCCTAACCCCAAAAATCCCCGTTTCCCTGACCCCAAAACTCCCTGTTACCCTGTGTCTGACCCCAAAACTCTGTTTCTGTTTCCCCAACCCCAAAACTCCGTTACCCTGTGTCTGACCCCAAAACTCCCCATTTCCCTATCCCTGACCCCAAAACTCCCTATTTCCATTTCCCTAACCCCAGAACTCCCTGTTTCTGTTTCCCTAACTCCAAAAATCCCTATTTCCATTTCCCTGACCCCAAAACTCTGTTTCCCCATCCCTAACCCCAAAACTCCCTATTTCCCTGTCCCTGACCCCATAACTCCCTGTTTCTGTTTCCCTAACCCCAAAACTCTGTGTTTCCCCATCCCTAACCCCAGAACTCCCTGTTTCTGTTTCCCTAACCCCAAAACTGCCCGTTTCCCTGACCCCAAAATTCCCTGTTTTCCTGACCTCATAACTGCCTGTCCCTGACCCCAAAACTCTCTGTTCCTTTGTCCCTGTGCCCAAAAACTCCCTATTTCCCTATCCCTGACCCCAAAACTGCCTGTTTCTGTTTCCCTGACCCCAAAACTCTGTGTTTCCCCACCCCTAACCCCAAAACTCTGTTTCTGTTTCCCCAACCCCAAAACTCCCCATTTCCCCATCCCTAACCCCAAAACTCCCTGTTTCTGTTCCCTAACCCCAAAAATCCCTTTTTCCTTGTGTCTGACCCCAAAAATCCCTTTTTCCTTGTGTCTGACCCCAAAACTCCCTGTTACCCTATGTCTGACCCCAAAACTGCCTGTTTCTGTTTCCCTGACCCCAAAACTCCGTTTCCCTGTCCCTAACCCCAAAACTCCCTGCTTCTGTTTCCCTAATCCCAAAAATCCCTTTTTCCTTGTGTTCAACCCCAAAACTCCCTGCTTCCCCATCCCTGACCCCAAAACTCTGTATTTCCCCATCCCTAACCCCAAAACTCCCCATTTCCCTGTCCCTGACCCCAAAACTCCCTGTTTCTGTTTCCCTAACCCCAAAAATCCCTATTTCCATTTCCCTGACCCCAAAACTCTGTTTCCCCATCCCTAACCCCAAAACTCCCCATTTCCCTATCCCTAACCCCAGAACTCCCTGTTTCTGTTTCCCTAACCCCAAAACCCCGCGTTTTCCCCATCCCTGACCCCAAACTCCCCATTTCCCCACCCCTAACCCCAAACTCCCCATGTTTCCCTGTGCCCAGTACATCACGGTGAAGCCCAACCAGCAGAAGCTGCTGCAGGGTCTGTTCATCCCCTACTGCCAGGACTGTGGCACCCCACAGCTGGAGCAGGCCGTGGGCATCGTGGGCGCCGTCATCATGCCCCACAACATGTACCTGCACTCCG